GTTCATCAACTCGATATTGCACTAAAAAATGTCACGCATGAGATGTTGGAGTAGTTATTCTACAAGGTTGCACACGAATTCTTATGCTTTTTGAGGTAAACAAAGTCTTTATAACAAATTGGGTTTCAAATGTCCCAAGTACACAATGAGTTAGATTGCGTTTGGTGGTATATTTGCCCCTAGAACACAATTGATGATTCACGTGACTAACAAACGACCACTCAATCGTTGTTAAAGCAATGCTGAATTATTGTAGGATTTTGAATCAACATTTTTTGAGCAGATCTCAATCATATTCTGTTGCCTCCAAAGTTAATCATCTCTCAACCGCACCAAAGATTTTGAAGCTAACGACATACATTGACATTGGTTTAGACATTTATTCTACTGCGGATGTTGCGTTGAACAAATTGATTTCACCACGATCTTCTATTAAGATGGTATGTTTCTCCCAATCTTTTTACTCTTTATGCACATACATCACTACCAAGGTTTGTTGGCAAATGATATGTACAACGAGCTTCTCAAAAACGAACAACAATAAGCATCCGAGGAAGTAGGCCTTCCACTGGGACCGCTGAATGCATGTCAAGGCGGAGCCTAGTTGCAACAATAATGTTATGGAATTGGAAGCACCTCTTGCGACGTCAACTTATTTAATCAAGAAGTGTCTTGCATTGTTTATAAGCGAGGTGGTATATCAAAATCTTGCACTATGGCATGCTAGTTGTCTACTCGTGACGTCTACAACAAGAACACTTTCTTCAACGAGGCATGGGATTGTTTGATGTGGCGCTTCATGCATTTTGCGCCATCTTTGCGGTTGGCTTGCGAACAGACTTTCCAAATACCACATAGCTTGAAATTTTCTTCTCCATCATCAAATGGGAGAAAGAATACCGCCACACCAGCTTGAAGAGCCTTTACTTGTCGGGGATTATACACGCAAAGCAATTCAAAACTCTCAAAACTAATATCGCCAAGCTATCTCAAGAATAGTTCAATGACAGTTCATGCAAGACTTAATATATGTGCCAGAATTTGATTCTGGCAGACCTGGAATTTGCCAGACCTGACCTGTGATAGCTGCTACATTTACATAGGGTCGAGGGATCAAAGGACCGATCATGACCAAGGCGGATCAGTCGTGCTCCAGTTCAACTGTTGTATGAGTCTAAAGTGGCTAAGACGTAAGACGGCCTTCAGAAATCTGCGGATTTCTGGTGACTGTAAAACAGTGAGCGAGGTAGAGTTGCTGTTAAGTGCAAACCAACTTTAGTACGAGATATATTTGACACACAAAGGGCCTGATGCATGACGGCAAGGAATCGACATACGTAAATATCAAATGGAGTTCGAGAATAAACACTAAGTCCGCATAGATGACTATGAAAGCAAAGGGAGTAGGGAAACTTCGTTCGTTGAAGAGGTTGCAAAAATCCAGAAACAAAGATAAGATTAGATGGGTGTGGTTGACCACTCTACGCTTCTAAATCTTACGGCAGGTTGTAAACAGCTCCAAATATTCTGCTCTGTAGACTCGCACAAGTTGGGGTACGGCATATGCGTTGATGAACGTGAGAAATTTATGCGAATTGGGTGCAGATGCACAACCGCTTACACATCAGTTGTATACTATGCACGCTGTAGCTGAGTTATATCCATCAAAATGTGGCTTGATTGACCTCACGTTACACTGTCTCTCGGCGGGACTGATTCATATCAGCTCATTCCACAAACTCAGGGTTATCCTCTGGAATGAATAGATCACCAAATATACTTATCAACTTTGTCTTCGCAATCTGAGCAGATGATGATGCGCGTAGCTCGTGCGGTGCATATCTGGCATCGCTTCAGACGCGACCTCTTCGACTTAAGTTCGTAATCGTTCACTCGAGCTCGTCACCAGTGGAAACGGATGCAGTTATGGATGAATCTCGTGGGCGAGTCTGTGTATGGTGCTTTCGAGCATCCACGTGAGGCGGATTTGTTGGAACGTCGCTGGGTCCCGAAGTGAGGGAGGTCCTTTCTGTCATTTTGTACGTCAAAGTCCACAGTATGAATCTTCATCGAGCAGAGAGCTATGCTTCAGTATAAAGCCTCTGAAAGGCCACAGACATGGCAACAGCTTGTGATTTTAGAACTCCAGGTTGACAGTCCAAACTGCTCGCCCCCGCCCCCGCCCCTTGAAGAATAGAATTACCAATAGAGTTGGCTTCAGTAGATCACACAATGTAGAAGCTCTTTGCTTCTTATGTAGATCAAGTGGGAACAGCAGTTCAAAGCTCACAAGTCATTGAACTCTGAAGTTATTCACCTCAGTTCGACGACATCAATAACAGCTAAAACTCAGCGTCGATTGGGAAACAATTGTTTGACTGGAAGGGTGGAAGAAAGGGCCACGAGGATTTGGGCAGTCGTCTGCAGTAATTTCGAGATTTCTGAATCCTTGCATTGTCAATCCAGTAAGATACAGAAAAAACTATCGTCTGCCTGAACTTTTTGCAAGAGGTATAGAAGAGGCACCGATCCTAAATTTATTGGCCGCTTTTTAGCTCCACGTGGGGACACTCCTTTATACTGCAACATGCCAATGAAGTTTTAATCGACTGCATCCAGAGTTTCAATATGTTTCAGTCATGTCGTCCGACCCAACGTTGTTATTAATCTCGATAATCCCATAAATCAGTTCGCATCTGCTTGTTGGATTTTCCATCTCCATCAGCATGCGCATGGATCTGATCTGATCAAATAATACTTCTCCTGCGGATAATTCAAGAGATCAGTTGCATTCTCAGAAATTATCGATGTATATCCGAAAAACACTTGTGTTGCATACATGCACTTTTCAGAATATAGGAGTATCAAGTCCCGATTACAAACTCGATCCGTACTCGCCAAAGGTCGAGATAGGTGGAGGTGCACGTCGTTGTGATCTGATGTCTTCGTACATATTTTCGTGTTTATGGAATGACTCCGGGTGCGTAGAATGGGAACCAGAGGGTGGTGCGCAGTTTGGATGTTGTGCTATACTTACACATCCTCAAAGGGATGAACCATGAAATTGCAGCGGCGACCTTGTAAATATTTCGGTGGAGTATCTGAAGAAAGTTTGGCTCCCCCAAAATGCGTAGATTATGGCTCGCGGCAGTTCTGATTGCAGTTTTAGCTGCAGCAACCGAAGCTCAGCTCACTGCTGATTTTTAGGCCAATACTGGTCCTACAGCTGTTAAGACCGTCGCTGACCTTGTCTGGGCATAAGCCCTTAAGGACCCGACTGTAGCAGCAGGCTTCCTCCGGCTGCAATTCCATAACTGCTTCGTTCGAGTAAGTGTATCATATTCAATATGCAGAATATTGATGGAGAGTATTAGTTTCGGAACGGAAGATCAGAATTTGAACCTGCAATTCATCTCATCTAGTCTTTCAAGGAAGAACGAAAATACGAAAGTGTGTTCCTTTTTAAAAAAAAGATTTAGAGATTTCTAAAAAGAGACGAAGGAAATTTGTTTCAGATCTTAGTTTTGCAACTAGTGACTTATAATCGTGACTATCAAAGCGAGGACTGATGTTTGCACTGATTTGAGTTGAAGAGAAAACCATGTCACTCGTCAGTACTTAGTCTTTCAAATTTAAGGATTATGTAACCGACAATGCTATTCTTCAGCGAGTGCGTGTGAAGAACTGTGAGGCGCATGCTGTGAAATGTTCTTAGTTTTTACTGTCATGCAGTTATCGGGTACTCAGAAATTTTGTGCCCATGGTATAGCATGTATCAGGAGCAGTTCTTGTAGTTGTGGGATTGAAGCGAATTTACCTTGTTCTAAGATCATACATTCGTATTCCAGGTCTGCGATGCGTCGTTGCTTATTGATTCAACATCCAGCCCTCCTGATGTGGCTGAGAAGGATGGCATACCGAACATTAATTCGGTAAGAGGATATGAAATCATTGATGAAGCCAAGACTAGGCTTGAGGCTGTGTTCCCTGGAGTAGTGTCATGCGCTGACATTGTTGCTTTAGCATCTCGATCTGCAGTCAATGCGGTAAGTAGTATCTCCACTGACTACGTCGTAGTAGCGTTACAGCATATACATGTTCCAAAAATTGCAGACCTTCGTGTTTCTGACACCCAGTCACGGTTATTTACACAATTTAGTGAATTATTTAGATTTCGCCCTGTGAAATGCTGAGTTACGATGGAAATACGCATCCCGTGTCCTAGTGGAAGATGGAACGAAACCTGTTCTCGTACGCGCACTTTCTATAATCCATCTGTTCTCCAGGGAAATCACTAGTTTGCAGAGTTTAGCTGTAAAGGAGCTGGTTTGTGCAGATTAGTGGGCCTTGGTGGAATGTCCCTCTGGGACGCAGAGATGGAGTTGTATCTCTGGCTAGTGAAACTCTAACAAATCTACCACCACCTGACGCCATTTATAAGGGTTTCACGGAGCGAGAGATGGTTATCTTATCAGGTTTGTTGCTCCAAAAGTGTTAAGCTCCTTGGATTGAATGATAAGCGACTTTAAGTCCCGGCCGCTGGATTGTCCTCAAACATTTTTAAAACCTTTACTCTATAAGCAAGAAAATCATTTCTGAACTACAATATATCAAATTTTGCGTGGTCTGCAGGTAGGTGTCCACACTATTGGGAAAGTTCGGTGCCTATTCATCCTGAATAGATTATACAACTTTCCTGGATCATCGGACGGTGTGGATCCTACCTTCAGCTCCACGTATGCTGCTGAATTGAAGAAAGTGTGCAAACCGGGAGACTTTACCACCAGAGTCCCCTTTGATCCCTCCTTGGGTGGCAACAGATTCGATAGCACTTATTACACCAATGTCAAGCAAGGCAGGGGAGTAATCAGATCTGATGCTGTTTTGAGTCAAAACACGGCTCTGATGGACAGGTACTCCGCCGCTCCCATCGTGCCTTTCTTCTGGGACTTTGCTCAGGCAATGGAAAAGATGAGCACAATGACTGTTTTAACGGGCACTCAGGGCGAGATCAGGCTTAAGTGCAGCGTTGTTAATCCTAAAACGGCCCCGCCACCCCCTGCTACAATCATCACTGCACCACCGCCTCCTGCTACAAGTACGACTGAAATCCCTCCACCCTCGACACCACCTCCATCGTCAGCGACACCTCCTCCAGCTTCACCACCCCAACCGTCTCCACCCACCCCTCCTGCTTCAGGTCCTCCTCCGTCTGCAGCAACCCTTCCTCCACCCCCTGCATCTTTAGCAAGCCCTCCACCTGCAGGTCCTCCTCCGTCTTCAGCAACCCTTCCTCCACCCCCTGCATCTTTAGCAAGCCCTCCACCTTCAGCACCTTCAGCACCTTCAACACCTCCTCCAGCTCCCCTAATCCCTGCATCTCCATCCACCCTTCCAGCTTCCGTTCCTCCTCTGGCTTCAGCGACCCTTCCTCCACACTCTGCAACTTGATCCAGCCCTCAACCTTCAACACCTGCAGCTTAAGACGCAGCCCCCCAGCATCATCTCCTGTTCCAAATTACCCTATCTCCACAACGTCGCCTCCTCCTCTTCCGATATCAACCATTTATTCTCCACCAGATTGTAAGAATTTCTCAGGAACTTTACAACCGCAACTCGGGAACGGACCTACAAAGGCTTGCAGATTATTCAACTGCTCGTAACCATAAGATGTGACCCGAGTTAGAAGAAGTAGCTCCGCGAGCTTTCGAGTCATTCAACGTCACTGGATTCATAGTTTCAAAGTGAATTCGACATAGGCATAGTTAAAAGTAGAATTCATTCATTGATTGGCTCTCTATCCGCAATTGTGGAAGGAATAAAGATTTGATCGAAGTCATGATTCAAAGATCACATGAGTTTCAGACATCTCTCTACTTCATTTTCTGATGACTCTTTTGGCTTAATGGTTTGTTTATATATCCGTCTAAGGATGATATGCCAAGGATAAATTAATCTTCACTTGTAAGATCTTGAACAAGGATTGTCAGAACTTGAATGTGAATATTGTGTCACGTTCAGAGATGATGTTATCGAGAAATCCATGATATTTTTACAAATTTTTCAAGAAAAGTTATGCTTTTTTTTGTAATATGATTTTTTTGTTGCAAAGCTCAAAATGTGTCATCTTTGTCAAGCAATTCAGTACTACAAACACTGAATCAAAAGATATGGACTTGAAAGAAAAGGTCCTCAATGAAGTCCATGTATATGGCTTTGAATGGGATTTTTGGTTTAAGTGGTTGAAAAAGCCCCTATGATAGATGACAAGAGATCGTAGATTTTGAGCAGGTCTCACAAGTCGTGACACGTACTTCACGGTTCTTCACATTTAGGACCATCAAAATTCTCTACACATCAATTGCATGATCTTGTTGTAACCAAAGTGTACCACAAATGAAGAGTCGTGTTGAGATTGGAGCACTAAGAGTTGGGTTTGATCTTGAGTAAAATAAAGTAATCCTTGGTAGTATAACAACACAACTTAGAATTGAAATTTTTGATTTCTATCATGCGATCCGTAAACTTTCGAGCAAGATAATGTTGATTTGAGAATTTCAAATCTGTAACCTTTAAGTTTGGATTTTAAGATCCTCTAGGATTGAAATTGTTTTTCAATTTCAAGATCAAATTTAGAATTTTAAGACCAAATCAAATATCTTGGAGAAAAAATGCATCCATCACGTTTGTGGTGCGCACAGTATTTAGCTGAAGTTGCTTGATAAGTATGATTATTTGTTCATTATAAGTTGCATCTTCTTTCTTGGGTGCAAGATTAGTTTGTCAAAAAAAACCATCGGATCAAATTTGCTTCAAACCGGGATCCAACATGATGACAAAATTGAATTGCATTAGTGATATACTCCAACAGGCTTGTTGTTAATTCAATTCATTAGTAGACATGAAATACTCAAGGTGTTTGTGATTGGTGTAGACTGTGACTAGATGTTGAGCTACTTTAAGAAAATAATGGCACTCTTAGATTGACTGAAAAATGACTAGGATCACCTTGTTGTGAATCTTGTAATTGATCTGGCAGCAATGAACACATGTGAGTGAAACGTTACAGGATGATAACAACCAATTTTGTTGAATTCTGAAAGTATCACTCCAAGGACAGAATCAAAAGCATTTATTTATGGAAAAAATGGCTTTTGAAAGTCAAAATGAATAGCAATTTATGTTGTTGGTATTAACTTTTTCAGAGTTTCAAATAATTGATCTACTTTTTCATTTCATTCAAGCTTGATTTTATGAATCAATTGACTTTACGAATCAATTGGAATTAACAAAACATCAACCTTAAAATAATTTTGAATAAAAATTTGATAGAATTTGCAAAACCAAGTAAACATTATACATTTCAGACGCCATTCTCTTTTTTTTCATTTGATGAATTCATTTTTAAATAGATCCTCCCAAAAAATGATGTAGCCCAAGGATTTGACTATGGGAAGATGGAAGACACATAACTTTAGCTCAGCGTATAGGCTAGCTGTGAACAAATTCTCTAATATTAGTGGGACATGTTTAATGTGCTATTTTTCATGCTTGGAGAAAACCAATATATTCTTGAGATAACAAAGCTAAAAATTATGTAGAATTACTTAGATAATGTTGTTCATCAAGTGCCAAAAAACTTCACATGCATTGGTAAGACCAAAAGTCATGAAATCATATTCAAAATATCACTACCTAGTTAAGAACAATGTCTTCCATATTTCACCTTCTTTGATTCGTATTAGGTTTTATGCTCCACAAAGATCAATCTTTGTGTGGATATTTGCTTGATCAAGTTGGTCAAAAAGTCTTAAGCAGCACTTGATATCAATTTATTATTATGAACCTGTTTAATCCACTGTAGACCAATCACAATTTAAAAAGTTTTATTTTCTTCTTGAAAAATAGTAAAGAGCTTCAACATGTGACTTAGAGTGTGGTATGAAGTTCTTCGCAAGATTTTCATCAAAGTAATCTTGCAATGAGATAATTCGCTTTTTGGGAGGTTGTAGATTGGACCAAAAGGAAATTTCGCAAATTTTTGGAATTCAATGTCACAATAAGAAGATAAATGCTAAGGAAGTGTATTGTTTCAAAAATATGTTTCAATAATTCTCATATTTTGTTGATAACTTGATTGTTTAAATAGGTGCAGATGTTGTAATGCCATAAATTGCAAATATATATCCAAACACAAACCAACAATCAAACATTGAACTTGCAACATTGAACATGGTAAATATAGTAGTTTGAAACGATTCTAGGGTGGCTTGACAAAATATGAAAAACTCTGATCCAATATGTTGAATTTTCCTTTTTTCCATCTATACTTGAGTTAATCATCTCTAATCAAAAGAGAAATAAAGTGAGTATTAGAGTAAAAACTAATCATATAAAACAAAATACTATTTTGTGTATTATGACTTTCTAGGATAGTGTCTAAGGGTTTAGTTTTTTGAGTAGAATATCTTGATTTCAAGAGCTTACTATCAATTATTTATATTGTTAGAGCGTAATTTTTAAGTACTTTAGAAAGGTTATGATGTCTTACAAGAATTCTATCAATAAAAGAAAGCAAAATTTCTGCAATCTAACTAGTTTCTAATTTTTTTTGTTATGTGGATAAAAATATTAAGACATTGACGTGATGTGGCAACACTTGCTGGCTGCAAGGTCCCAAATATGCTTGTTGATGTTCTTTTTGATCAAATTTTCTAGTGTCTTGGCTCAAATGTGCTTCAGGTGTATCAAAATTTTTGTGGCTTTGGACTTTGAGGTTTTGTGGTAACCCACTTTTTGTTTTTCGTCGGAACTAAAACATTTTTGAATAGTAAGTACCGCGGTAGCAGCTGTAAATAGTAATCGGTACGCAAAACCAGAGTAAAAAGAGGATAGAGGACAGTCAAGGGGTTTTGGGCTTAGGCCACAGTCCAACGCTTGGGATGGAACGGGCGGCTCATGCTGCAGGACCCGCTTTGAGCACATTCGGCGGTAGATCACTCATAACGTTTTCAATTCGTAACGCTTTGAAAGACTTAGGGTCTTGTTGGAAAGAGCTCAACGCTTTGGTTCTAACGAGCCCAAGAACTTGTGAAACGGATGAGAGGTCACTGAGTTATGAGTGTCGGAAGTTACTAATGGGGGACCTTCGGCGGTAGAGTGACTTCGGCGGTACGCCTTCGGCGGTAGACGCCTTCGGGGCAAGCGCTGTAATAACCCACCAAAGGCTAAAACTGCAGTATGGTGGTAAAAAGATCGAACCCACAGGGACAGAGGCAACACACAGAGTAAAAAGTGTCACGTTTAACAAACTTTTGTAGAGTTTGAATTCTCAGGCGACTGTCACTCCCAGAAATACTGCAGTGCTCGACTCGGAGGCTCGACTCGGAGGAGGATGCTCGACTCGGAGGATGCTCGGAGGATGCACAGTACAGCGTAGTCACTCAACACACACACACACACACACACACCTGAAACTGGCAAAAGCACAACTCGGAGGTCGGTCAGGACCTCCGCTTCGGATTTCAGGGGGAAAGTGTCTCAAAAGTTCACTCAGAGGTTCTGCAGGTAGTGACTCCCACTCCGGCTTTTACTGCCCTTCCGCCAGGAACTAGCGTAGGGAACCCGGACTGGACTTCCCACTTCGGAACGAAGCCCCTTCATACGCCGTGGACGTCACCCTCGACTCACACCAAACGCAGGGGGTATAGGCCCGACTGAGGACTTAACTGAGACACAATCCAGTAACACACACACACAACCTGAATTGCAAACCAAGGCTTACACGAAGTAATAAAACTTCACTTTGGCATTCAGGGGAAACTTCCCGTAGGAGTACAATCAGGATATGTCACTCGAAGGAGTAAGGGAGAACTGTTCAAGTCTCTAACTCGCAGCCGGCTCTGAGCATCAGAAATCACCCGCAGGTGTAGATCCGCACTACTCAAGTCTCTAACCGGGTGCTAGCTCTGAACATTCAGCCGAAGGCCTTCAACTACAACATACGGTAACTTCGCTATGCTGCAGCTTCTCTACGTGGTGCCAGGACCAAAATGCACAAACACGCCAAGAAAGTGAGTTCCTGATCTGTACTTCCGAAATTGTTAGAGTCCCAAGGCAAAACGCCTTGATCTACTTTATACCCTTAAAGGTCCTAACTAACACTACGCTATCCTATCTACTACTCGCAACACTTGCACGAAACCAAACTACGCTACTGCACTCTGCAGATCCGGTGCTGCACCTCCTGCGCGCCGGACTGCCTCGCTCTCTATCTCTACCTTGCCAATCTTCCGACCGGCTGCGCAACCCCAGACGCCGGAGGGCTGCAGTCACTTCCGACTCCAAGTGTGCCATAGTGTCGCGCGCACCCGACAAGAAGGATTCTAATTTCCTTGCTACTCGCCGCCGACTCCGACTGTCACCCTCCGTCAATGCCGTCGCCCGAAGCTCGAACTCCCTGAGTGTGATCTTCTCTTGAGCTGCCACCTCCCAATGGGCGTATCCTTTTAGACAGTGAGTCACCCGCGTTGCCAACTCTTCTCGCGCCCGGCAGCTGCCTTCCACCTCTGCTAGCTGCATTTCCGCATCTGCGCGCTGCGCCCTCAAATCCACGCACTCGGATAGCAAGTTGCGCAACAATTCCTCATCCTCCGTGCGTGTACTTTGACTTTCTTCTAAGGCGCGCTTCTGGCGCGCAAGCTCTTCTGCTAAGATGCGGTTTTGTCTCCGCTCT